GTAGATATCGTATTGCTTACTGAGAATTTTTCTTAAAACGCCCATGGTTCAATCTAGTACAAATCATGTTCTTTGGTTAGAGGTCAGCATATTCTAGTTCTGAGACATGGTGCTTCTGCTGCCACCTGGGATGAGTTTTTAGCCACCTTTTCTACAATTGTCATCGTTATTGTTATCTTCAGTGTTGAGATTTTATTCATTAGTCGCTTGGTCTCAGAGGGCAAAGCCTAGATTGACGATAGATTTGTTAACATCACACTATTAATTTTTCAGAGGGTCTAGAGGTTCTACTTGCTTCTGAGTCTTCTTCTTAAGACGAACAGGAATTGAGTCAGTCAGTGTATCCTTCATAGATACCTTATAAATGGTGTGTGATGTTTCTATGATCACTTCTCTCTACCATTTGCCATTTTGATGTCACACTGCCCAAATAGCTTGCACATTCCAGTCTCAACACTCCTCTGTCAATCCCTACTGTTGCCTCCTTCACTCCTCTGTCAATCCCTACTGTTGCCTCCTTCACTCCTCTGTCAATCCCTACTGTTGCCTCCTTCACTCCTCTGTCAATCCCTACTGTTGCCTCCTTCACTCCTCTGTCAATCCCTACTGTTGCCTCCTTCACTCCTCTGTCAATCCCTACTGTTGCCTCCTTCACTCCTCTGTCAATCCCTACTGTTGCCTCCTTCACTCCTCTGTCAATCCCTACTGTTGCCTCCTTCACTCCTCTGTCAATCCCTACTGTTGCCTCCTTCACTCCTCTGTCAATCCCTACTGTTGCCTCCTTCACTCCTCTGTCAATCCCTACTGTTGCCTCCTTAACCAACTTCTTGTTCTGTTTCTGTACATCCTAGTTAAACATATAGTTGATGCAACTTGCAGCAGTACCTAATTGCAGTGGTCTAATTGTCTAAAAACTTAAGTTTCTAGCTTGTCCTTCAAACTAAATAAAACACACTCACCTGGTAAATCAAAATAAGTAAATATTGGATCTTCCATAGGTCAGTATCATTGTTGGGGCTATCTCTCATATTGTCTCACTTGTATTGCCTGCACAAGCACTTCTGTCCACTCTATCTTCATCTCCTTCAGTCTTTGATCAGCAGTGATTCCAGTTGCTGAAGTTGATTGAGTATACCAATCAACATTATTCATTATTGGGCAACACAACATTGATGACAGCTTGGTACTAGATATCATCCGAGACCGTAGATCTTTGAATGGTTCTGATACCATAGTCCATCTTGCAGCCGTACCATGTCTAGTTGTCTAACAACTCAGGTATCAATCTAGTTTGTCTTAGAGTCCTTTAAATGAAGACACATTTACTGGTAAATAAAAAATAAGTAAAAAATCATTTATTTTATATATTTTGTATTGCTGCATAGTTGTAGTCCTCAGGATCCTCAGAAGGATCTTCGTTCATGCGTCACATTACACTGTGTATCTTGCAGAGGATTTAGAGGTTTCCTTTGCTTCTGAGTCCTCCATAGGCAAACCGGAACTAAGTCAGTAGAAACCACATCTAGATTTCAATTCCCAAAATGTCCTACCATTACAAGTGTAAGTCACGACAAATCATGCATATAAAAATCAAACGATGCAAAAATCAAAATATATTGGATAACCTAAAAATATGTATTTCTGACGTTACCGTCACCCATCTGCCCGTATACCTCGGTCACGGCACAATCCCTAGAACAGAGATTAGTGACTTTCAGTATCTTAATATTTCTACTGACAAAAATGCCTCGTTCCTATAGGTCTCTTTTGTACAGATCGAACCTATAGTGAATTCAATGTAGCTGTGATCTGACGCTGAGTGATCATCAGATACCCCCCATTTTACAACCTTTGTCGCCGCATAATTACTGGCCAAGGTTATGTCCAAAACCTCTTCCCTTAGTACCACCCCTCTCCTCTTTCTAAATAATACAATACAATACAATACAATACAATACAATATTCTTTATTGTTAATTCGTCAAGAATTACAATAGTGTCAATACAATAGTGAATTTTACATGTTAATTTTCATAAAATTCCTTTATTGAGTAGAAGGGTCTTGAGATTAGCCACTTCTTCAACTCCTGGTGTAGCTTGTTGCCAGTCAGGTCTCTCAGGTAGTCAGGTAGATGGTTCCTCAGCTTGCAGCCGGTGTAGGAAGGTTTTTTCTCCCAAAGAGTTGTTCGGTGAACTGGTAGTGCAAATTTGGAGCCATGACGGGTGTTGTAGTGGTGCAGGTCTCGGTTTCTTGGGGGGTTTATTTCATTCACATACTTTATAGATTCAAGTATGTAGAGAGACACCACTGTGAGGATTCACAGTGGATAAAGGATAAAGGTTGGTTTGGATCCCTTATTAAGTATAACTAAGTTAGATTCAGCTATAAAACTTAACAAGCTCTCACCTCTCTCATTGATGTTGCTGCTGCCCCAGGCCACATGATGGGCATTGGCGTCGCAGCCCAACAGCAGGTGTTTTTTTTCCCTGGCTCCATATTCAACAACCATCCTCATTTCTCTGGTCGGTGGTGGTTCCTGTGAGTCATATGGCAGGTATACTGAGGCAAGCAGGATTCTGACGTTACCGTCACCCATCTGCCCGTATACCTCGGTCACGGCACAATCCCTAGAACAGAGATTAGTGACTTTCAGTATCTTAATATTTCTACTGACAAAAATGCAAGCTCTAGGTTTGTCACTGTCAGTATCATATATCAACTCACCTTTTGCGGTGCCCATCCCCATGATTCTGCCTCCTGCAGTCCATGGCTCCTGGATCAGAGCCACGCCTATGCGGTCGGCAAGAATTTTCTGGCAAAGCGTAGCCGTAGCTGCCTTGCTGTGCTGGAGATTTATCTGGAGCACCGCAACCATCCTCTACTTGTGGGGATCCTTGCTCCCATGCAACCTGAAGGTTACCCTCTCGCAGCCCAGGAATGGGCGCATCGCAAGAGACTTCAGCTTCTGCAGGGAGTTTTCGTCAATTATTATGACCAGGAATTGTCCGCTAGGGTTTGAGTTTCCCCCAACGACCGCCCAGTGGTCTGTGTCAAGGTCATTTTGCAGCTTTATGCCCTGCATCACGTCCTTCTTGGTTGTTGCCCCCGTTGTGGTGGGAACAAACACTGATACCTAATACTATACCTGAACAAAATATATTGGATAACCTAAAAATATGTATGAGTAAATATATTGTTGGCGTGTTTGTTATGGGCATTCTGAGAAAATTGTTTCCATTTCTCTGGCTTCTATAGTAATTGCATTTGACATGGGAAACACCAGAACACTCTGAGGAAGTGATTATTATTCTCTCAGCCACTTCAGAGTCGTTGTTGTTTGTAAATGCTTGCTGAATCTCCAGATCTTCAGTGATTTCCTTGTCTTCGTCTAATTCTTCAGCTTTAATGAAGTATTATAATATCTAGGTTCCTCATGACTAAATCTTTGGTTTTGGACATGATCAAAACAGTTTTAAAATGTTGGCTTGATAAACTGGCTTCAATTTTTTGGGGGCTGAGGCAGTTAATCTAAGCGGCAATTGATCTTTGGCTGGTTAAGAGAGAATCTACCATAGCACTGATCTACAACATTTAAAATTGAATGTTCCTGTCAGTTCAAAACTAAACAGAAAAAAGCAATTAGATGTATGCTCAAACTTGAAGATGATGACTCCGCAAGAGAACACTTCAAAAATCTTAAAATTTTAACTGTGTATGGTCTGTATATTTTTGAATGTATCTTATTTTTTATAACAAAAACTTATGTACAACCAATAGGTCATCAATATCATACAAAAAGACCGACCGAAAAACATTTTGAAAAACATAGATTGGAATTTAAAAAAAAAAAAAAGACGACATACATTGGCAATAAATTCTTTAAAGCACTTCCGAATGAACTAAGATCAGAAAAAAACAATAACAAACTAAAATGTAAATTGAAAATATATTTGATCAACAAACCCATTTACTCAATAGAGGAATTTTATGAATACAACAAAATTATGAAGCAGTAGTGGTGGTTTTTTTTTTTTTTTTTAATTTATAATTGTATTGTTTTTTTTAGTTTTATATTTGACGCCATTTCTTGTAATGACATGTACAAGGACAAATAAAGTGATTTGATTGATTGATTGATTGATTGATTGAACATGAAATTAAATATTGACACAAATATGTTAAATGAAATGCTTTCAGCAGTAGTTGGTGTCCCCTCAATGTATAATGTATTAATCTTCTTACATGGTTATACAATATTTCAATACAATAAATTCATGAAGGTACAATGGTCTATAAATAGGCTACCCAAGGAGGTTTCTGGTAAAAGGTCTAGAATGGACTAATAAATCTTTTCCAGTAGAACTTTTTGAAATTTTAACTTTAAAAACATTCACTGCCAATTGTTAAATTTATCCGGCAAATAGTTGTACAACTTTCACCTTTAAACCTATATAAGGGACAATTTTTTTATTTTTCTTGACCTGTGTATAAGGTGCCTAGAGGTTTTTATTTCTATTGTTCCATTATTATTTACCAACAACTGCTCAAAATCGTTTTTATTTCTATGAACATAATTTAAAATGTAAACAAATAAACAGACAGGGAAAAGTTAATTTGAACGGATTTTAAAGTGTTTTTTTTTAAGGGAGCCTTAAAGTTTATGTTTTAGGCATAGTCCTAAAACCCTATGAATCTTTTTTTCATTGAAAATTTGTTTGTTTAACCCCCCAACTGGCGTATAGTAAACTCTGTAGCAGTAAGGCAATTTTTGGCCTTCGCATACATATTTTTGAAAATCCATATCAAGTCTAGTGGTTAAAAAAGCCTATTAAATCACATATTTTATTTGTTTATTATATTATAAAGAATTTAAAAATTGCAAAACTATAAATATTTAAACAATCCCTCAAGTTAGTTTCCCCATAAGGTAATGCTTTACCTCGAGATATATTCTACACCAGTTGCTCCACTAGGTTTTAATACTTGGATGTTTGTTGTAGTGATGGGATCGAACCAGGAGTTGCTGGATCCCCGCCAGTGGTTGTCTCAGCCTCGGACAGCCCCAGCTAGTCCAGCCCCACACACCAGACATCAACTGCTCTCCTCTTCCACCAGTTCAACCTCCAGCTCAAAGTCCTTCTGTAACGGAGAGACAGACATGACTCCCGTTTGTCTTCCACCAGCTCCACACTCGGCCCCCCCACTCTCATCTGCTTACGCTGGGTAATTACTAGTCACAGTTTCATTAATCTAAACCACAGTTAAGTGTGTTAACTAGTTTAAAGAGTTTTAAAATTAAGATACATTTTATTTACAGTAGTTGGTTGCCTTTTGTTTCACTAGTAATTTGAATATCAAGGCTCCAATGATGTTTTAGTAAGGCCACGCTGGCTACTTCCATTCCTGCAAACGTATAAACCATCTCGCAGTCTAGAGCGACAATGATTCCCTTAGAAGTCCCTTAGAGTATTCCAATTCCTCTCAACTCATTTTCTCTTAAATTTAATTTACTCCAAAGGTGGGTATAACCTTAAACGTATCCTATAAACTGTGAAAGCATACCATAAAATCCATAAGATCCAATCTCTATAATTCTAGCTGAAGAATATTTAATGATGTCTGATGTTAGGTCGATGACATGAATCAGTAATGGCCCATTTTCTCTACTACGTTTAAGTTTAATAACCCTACAAGTCTCCACTACTAGAAAGTTCCTCGGTATTTTTTGAGTTTACTTAAAACTAAAACTCTATTTTTCCTTTTATTACATTGATCAGATTGGTCATTATTATCTCACCATCATCGGGCAAGCATTCTTGCTATACTTGCGCATCTTTATCATAAGATTCAATCTCTATAATTCTAGCAATACGCAATTTCTCTCAACTCATTTACTCTTGTATTTAATTTACTCCAAATGTGGACATTACCTTAAACGCATCCTATAAATTGTGCAAGTCTACCACAAAACCCATAGTTCTCTAAAGAACATTTCCCCTAGGTAGTACCGATGAGATTATCGAACGTAGTACGAGAAATTGCTTTTATTTATTTAAAAGCTTTTTCTGCCGAGAACACAATTTTTCACACCATCTCGTTTCTCTTATAGTGTGTACAGTTTTCCCTTCATAAGGATTATGTATGATTGTTACGTTGGGATTGATCAGCTTCCAACATGATACCCGTGTTTTTTCAGCTCTTCCATCATTTTTTCAGCCACTTGCTTGTCCACATTTTAGTTGATTAACCCTACAAGTCTCTACTACTAGAGTTTTCTTTAGTAATTTCTGGGTTTACTTAAAACTAAAACTCTAATTTTCCTTTTATTACATTGATCAGATTGGTCATTATTATCACGCCATCATCGGGCAAGCATTCTTGCTATACTTGCGCATCTTTATCATAAGATCCAATCTCTATAATTCTAGCTGGAGAATATTTAATGATGTCTGATGTTAGGTCGATGACATGAATCAGTAATGGCACATTTTCTCTACCTGTATTATAATCGGCTTGTTCACTTGATCCTCATATAAAGCTACTCTATTGTAACCCACAATTCGGCTGCTGTGGCGTTTCCTGGGTATGGCAAAGGAGGGACCAAGTATTGATTTGACACAACTCTTATTTGTTGTTGGTTTAAAACAACTCTCACATTTTGCTTGTTTAAAGTTGGGTTTTTATTCCGCTGAATTTAGGCCTGTCTCATGATTTGATGAGTGGGAGGAGCTCAACTGTGTGTTGAGAATCAAGATGAGAAACTGGTTGAATGAGTAAGTCTCTGATCAGGTCTTTGATTAACAGTACTGGAACCAGAAAATCTTAAGTATAAGGATACAAGATGGCTGAGTCCACCACGAGATGATGGGCTATTTTTAAAACCCTCAAACTATACTCTAGAGTGTGGCTGACTATGATGGTTTTCGAGTTCATATGACTCTTCAGGACCTTATGAATATGTTTGAACAATATCTTTTTCTCAGTGATTTATTTCTCTAGGGTGATTTTTAAAAATCTTGGGTTAAATCCACGATTTCTGGGTTGAGTTTTCACTAGTGTTTTTAAATCTGAGGGCTCCAATGATGTTTATTAAGGCCACTCTTGTTACTTACATTCCTGCAAACGTATAAACCATCTCACAGTCTAGAGCGACAATATTGAGCTTAGAAGTCCCTTAGAGTATTGCAATTTCTCTCAACTCATTTACTCTTGTATTTAATTTACTCCAAATTTGGACATTACCTTAAACGCATCCTATAAACTGTGCAAGTCTACCACAAAACCCATAGTTCTCTAAAGAACATTTCCCCTAGGTAGTACCGATGAGATTATCGAACGTAGTACGAGAAGTTGCTTTTATTTATTTAAAAGCTTTTTCTGTCGAGAACACAATTTTTCACACCATCTCGTTTCTCTTATAGTGTGTACAGTTTTCCCTTATAAGGATTATGTATGATTGTTAGGTTGGGATTAAACAGCTTCCAACATGATACCCGTGTTTTTTCAGCTCTTCCATCATTTTTTCAGCCACTTGCTTGTCCACATTTTAGTTGATTAACCCTACAAGTCTCTACTACTAGAGTTTTCTTTAGTAATTTCTGGGTTTACTTAAAACTAAAACTCTAATTTTCCTTTTATTACATTGATCAGATTGGTCATTATTATCACGCCATCATCGGGCAAGCATTCTTGCTATACTTGCGCATCTTTATCATAAGATCCAATCTCTATAATTCTAGCTGGAGAATATTTAATGATGTCTGATGTTAGGTCGATGACATGAATCAGTAATGTAATGGCACATTTTCTCTACCTGTATTATAATCGGCTTGTTCACTTGATCCTCATATAAAGCTACTCTATTGTAACCCACAATTCGGCTGCTGTGGCGTTTCCTGGGTATGGCAAAGGAGGGACCAAGTATTGATTTGACACAACTCTTATTTGTTGTTGGTTTAAAACAACTCTCACATTTTGCTTGTTTAAAGTTGGGTTTTTATTCCTCTGAATTTAGGCCTGTCTCATGATTTGATGAGTGGGAGGAGCTCAACTGTGTGTTGAGAATCAAGATGAGAAACTGGTTGAATGAGTAAGTCTCGGATCAGGTCTTTGATTAACAGTACTGGAACCAGAAAATCTTAAGTATAAGGATACAAGATGGCTGAGTCCACCACGAGATGATGGGCTATTTTTAAAACCCTCAAACAATACTCTAGAGTGTGGCTGACTATGATGGTTTTCGAGTTCATATGACTCTTCAGGACCTTATGAATATGTTTGAACAATATATTTTTCTCAGTGATTTATTTCTCTAGGGTGATTTTTAAAAATCTTGGGTTAAATCCACGATTTCGGGTTGAGTTTTCACTAGTGTTTTTAAATCTGAGGGCTCCAATGATGTTTATTAAGGCCACTCTTGTTACTTACATTCCTGCAAACGTATAAACCATCTCACAGTCTAGAGCGACAATATTGAGCTTAGAAGTCCCTTAGAGTATTGCAATTTCTCTCAACTCATTTACTCTTGTATTTAATTTACTCCAAGTTTTCGAGTTCATATGACTCTTCAGGACCTTATGAATATGTTTGAACAATATCTTTTTCTCAGTGATTTATTTCTCTAGGGTGATTTTTAAAAATCTTGGGTTAAATCCACGATTTCGGGTTGAGTTTTCACTAGTGTTTTTAAATCTGAGGGCTCGAATGATGTTTATTAAGGCCACTCTTGTTACTTACATTCCTGCAAACGTATAAACCATCTCACTGTCTAGAGCGACAATATTGAGCTTAGAAGTCCCTTAGAGTATTGCAATTTCTCTCAACTCATTTACTCTTGTATTTAATTTACTCCAAATTTGGACATTACCTTAAACGCATCCTATAAACTGTGCAAGTCTACCACAAAACCCATAGTTCTCTAAAGAACATTTCCCTTAGGTAGTACCGATGAGATTATCGAACGTAGTACGAGAAGTTGCTTTTATTTATTTAAAAGCTTTTTCTGTCGAGAACACAATTTTTCACACCATCTCGTTTCTCTTATAGTGTGTACAGTTTTCCCTTCATAAGGATTATGTATGATTGTTAGGTTGGGATTAAACAGCTTCCAACATGATACCCGTGTTTTTTCAGCTCTTCCATCATTTTTTCAGCCACTTGCTTGTCCACATTTTAGTTGATTAACCCTACAAGTCTCTACTACTAGAGTTTTCTTTAGTAATTTCTGGGTTTACTTAAAACTAAAACTCTAATTTTCCTTTTATTACATTGATCAGATTGGTCATTATTATCACGCCATCATCTGGCAAGCATTCTTGCTATACTTGCGCATCTTTATCATAAGATCCAATCTCTATAATTCTAGCTGGAGAATATTTAATGATGTCTGATGTTAGGTCGACGACATGAATCAGTAATGGCACATTTTCTCTACCTGTATTATAATCGGCTTGTTCACTTGATCCTCATATAAAGCTACTCTATTGTAACCCACAATTCGGCTGCTGTGGCGTTTCCTAGGTATGGCAAAGGAGGGACCAAGTATTGATTTGACACAACTCTTATTTGTTGTTGGTTTAAAACAACTCTCACATTTTGCTTGTTTAAAGTTGGGTTTTTATTCCGCTGAATTTAGGCCTGTCTCATGATTTGATGAGTGGGAGGAGCTCAACTGTGTGTTGAGAATCAAGATGAGAAACTGGTTGAATGAGTAAGTCTCTGATCAGGTCTTTGATTAACAGTACTGGAACCAGAAAATCTTAAGTATAAGGATACAAGATGGCTGAGTCCACCACGAGATGATGGGCTATTTTTAAAACCCTCAAACAATACTCTAGAGTGTGGCTGACTATGATGGTTTTCGAGTTCATATGACTCTTCAGGACCTTATGAATATGTTTGAACAATATCTTTTTCTCAGTGATTTATTTCTCTAGGGTGATTTTTAAAAATCTTGGGTTAAATCCACGATTTCGGGTTGAGTTTTCACTAGTGTTTTTAAATCTGAGGGCTCCAATGATGTTTATCAAGGCCACTCTTGTTACTTACATTCCTGCAAACGTATAAACCATCTCACAGTCTAGAGCGACAATATTGAGCTTAGAAGTCCCTTAGAGTATTGCAATTTCTCTCAACTCATTTACTCTTGTATTTAATTTACTCCAAGTTTTCGAGTTTATATGACTCTTCAGGACCTTATGAATATGTTTGAACAATATCTTTTT